TCCAGGGTGATGAACAGTTTCCGGCTGTCGGGAAGAATGGTTTCTCTGCTCGCCTGCTGTGTGCTATCCTCCTCCTCTTCATCTTCCACACCCCAAAATCCTCATGCCTGTTGCGTGAGACTCCCCCCTTGCAGGTGTCCACGGACAGGGGTGGGGTAGTAGTAGGGGCGCTCCCTAGAATTGCATGCAGCTCCTCATAGAAGCGGCATGTCTGGGGCTCTGATCCGGAGTAGCTGTTTGCCTGAGCGCCTTAATTTTCATGCGGCACTGCTGCGGGTTGCTGTTGTAGCCTCTGTCCATCATGCCCTTGGAGATTTTGGCAAATGTATTGGCATTTTGTCTTTTGGAACGGAGTTCTGATAGCACGGATTCATCTCCCCATACAGCGATCAGATCCAGTACGTCCCGTTCGGTCCATGCTGGAGCTCTTTTGCGATTCTGACAGGTTTCAGAGTAGCAGCCATGTTAGTCTGTACCTGCAAAAAGAAAAGGAGTGCTTGTGGCACCTTAGAGACTAACAAATTTATTTGAGCATAAGCTTTCCTGAGCTACAGCTCACTTCATCGGATGCATGCAGTGGAAAATACAGTGGGGAGATTTTATATGCACAGAGGACATGAAACAATGGGTGTTACCATACACACTGTAATGAGAGTGATCAGGTAAGGTGAGATACTACCGGCAGGAGAGAAAACAAACCTTTTGTAGCGATAATCAAGGTGGGCTATTTCCAGCAGTTGACAAGAACATGTGAGGAACAGTAATAAACATGGGGAAATAGTTTTACTTTGTGTAATGACACATCCACTCCCAGTCTTTATTCAAGTCTAAGTTAATGGTGTCCAGTTTGCAAACTAATTCCAATTCAGCAGTCTCTCTTTGGAGTCTGTTTTTGAAGTTTTTTTGTTGAAGGATTGCCACTTTTAGGTCAGAAATCGAGTGACCAGAGAGATTGAAGTGTTCTCCAACTGGTTTTTGAATGTTATAATTCTTGGCGTCTGATTTGTGTCCATTTATTCTTTTGTGTAGAGACTGTCCAGTTTGGCCAATGTACATGGCAGAGGGGCATTACTGGCACATGGTGGCATATATCACATTGGTAGATGTGCAGGTGAACGAGCCTCTGATAGTGTGGCTGGTGTGATTAGACCCTATGATGGTGTCCCCTGAATAGATATGTGGGCACAGTTGGCAACGGGCTTTGTTGCAAGGATAGGTTCCTGGGTTAGTGTTTTTGTTGTGTGGTGTGTGGTTGCTGGTGAGTATTTGCTTCAGGTTGGGGGGCTGTCTGTAAGCAAGGACTGACCTGTCTCCCAAGATCTGTGAGAGTGGTGGGTCATCCTTCAAGATGCGTTGGAGAGGTTTTAATTGGGGGCTGAAGGTGACAGCTAGTGGCGTTCTGTTATTTTCTTTGTTGGGCCTGTCCTGTAATAGGTAACTTCTGGGTACTTTTCTGGCTCTGTCAATCTGTTTCTTCACTTCATCAGGTGGGTATTGTAGTTGTAAGAACGCTTGATAGAGATCTTGTAGATGTTTGTCTCTGTCTGAGGGGTTGGAGTAAATGTGGTTGTGTCGTAGAGCTTGGCTGTAGACAATGGATCGTGTGGTGTGGTCTGGATGAAAGCTGGAGATGATTCTGAGACTGCATGGTCACCTGTGCTCATGAGCTCGTCATGCTGGCCAAACAGGAAATGAAATTCAAAAGTTCCCGGAGTTTTTCCTGTGTACCTGGCTAGTGCATCTGAGTTGAAAGTGCTGTCCAGAGCAGTCACAATGGAGCACTCTGGGATAGCTCTCAGAGACCCATATGGTCGAATTCCGTCCACGCTACTCCAAATTCTACCTGGCGATGTCGATTTCAGTGGTAATGCCCTCATCGGGGAGTAGTACAGAAATCAATTTCAAGAGCCCTTTAAGTCAACAAAAATGGCTGCGTCGTGTGGATGGGTGCAGGGTTAAATCGATCTAGCGCTGCTAAATTGGACCTAAACTTGTTGTGTAGACCAGGGCTAAGGCTGAGGCCCTATAATGGGGCAACCCACCATGTTTGGTAGGTTCAGCTCATTCATTGTTAGTTCGTCGTTAATTCTTAATTTTTAGTTTTAAGTAAACTCTAAGTTAAAAGAGCTCTTAACCTCTCATCTTGCTCATCCCTCCTGTCCTCACATTCATTTTCTGCTTTCCTGGACTCTGACATTGTTTGCCTCCACACATTCTGCTGGGCTCTTTCAGTGCGGAAGGACTGCATGAGCTCAGAGAACAATATTAGCTGTAACGTCTTCTAAGTTTTTCACTTCCCACTCAAGACTTGAGGAACCTGGATGATCGAACTCTAGACCTGAAAGACTTCTTAAACATCTGTTTTACTTTTCGCTATTTATGTTGTATTCTTTTTGCATTTCACTTAAATTGGATGGTAAAAATAGATCAGTCGGTTTCACATTTGTTTCAAGTATCTTTCATTTTCTGTTGTTCATATTAACATGGTGCCCTGGCATTTTGGGTTATTGGCATTGCAGGGTAAGAGTTTGATCTGAATATAAATCCTTATATTACAGAATCTACATTTTGGGCCTAACTTCCCTGTCAACAACCTTTTTAGTAAATTTAGGCCAACTTATTTCATGAATGGTGCTTCATCTGATTTTGTATTTGAAATGTCATGCAAGAAACATGTTTAACTCAAATTGCAGGCACCAAAAATATAAAACACAAGAAAAAACCCCTTTGCATTCAAACTGAGGGCCTGATGCTGAAGCCCTGTGAAGGCAATGGGATTGCTCACATAAAGGATCAACTCTTTGGTGACAGAATTATTCCACTGAATAAAGACAAAGGGCTTGATTTAGCAAAGTCTTGTTTAGCTTTAATTTCACATTATGGGAAATAGTCTGGCATTTCCTTTTAAAATCAACTTGTGATTCATAGAATAGAGGCAAATGTTAGGGGATAAATTTAGTAGCAAGCATAAGTAAGATTCACCACGATCTCCTTAATGAATGACAGAAAAGAAAAACGAGGGAGAGAGAGGAGTGGGAAGGAGTTAAATTAGGGACTGGAGGGAAGCAAGGACAGTTACAGACAAAGGTAATGCAACTTTTAATTTTGTTTGCCTCCTAGATATTATTGTCATTGGCACATTAGAAATACATTTGGTAGATAGGTAAGTAGATAAAAGTAACGTTAGCATGTCAAAAACATTGAGTCTTTCTAATCTATCTACATATAATGTGCCCATCATAGTAGTATGTCCACAATATGAGTCTCAGAGCTCCCTATTTGAGGGTGCTGGATGTAATGGGGACCAAATTCATGGCTTTCTAGTGTAGAAAATACAGTATTGAGGTTTCCTGTCTCCTCCAGGTGTTGGGTTAAAAACCAACCTTTCCATACTTTTTTTGTTTTTCAAAAAAGAAAATTTACAGGCAAAAATGTACTCTGGACCTTTATAGAATTAAATAAGGACCCAGATATGGTTGGAGTTTCTGAAGATTAGCCATTGCGTTCTTTCTGTAGAGCGATATCAAATCTTTTGGGTAATTCATGTGGGTTTTATAATTTTCTGTTAGATATGTGAGAGACAAGGTGGGTGAGGTAATATCTTTTACTAGACCAATTTCTGTTGGTGAAAGAGACAAGCTTTTGAGCTACACAGAGCACGTCTTCAGCTGTGTCGTCTTTAGTTCTGTGTAAATTGAAAGTTTGTCTCTTTCACCAACAGAAGTTGGTTCAGTAAAAGATGGTACGTCACCCACCTTGTCTCTTGAATATCCTGGGATCAACATGGCTACAACATGTTAAAAATATATTGTAAAACCTAAGAAGAAAAACACATTTATTCAAAAACAATTATTTACTAGAAACTGTTGCAATAGTTTCAAGGTTGTGAATAAATAAAAATCAGGAAAATCATGATTAAAGAAGGCTGCACCCACAGCTTACTCAGGTTGGTGTGTGTTTCTCAAATTACAGTGCTCAGGTTTGTTAAAATAGTTGAGGTCCAAAATGTGACTGACGCTCAAATTGTTATAACCTGCTGGAGAAAAAAATCCTAAATGACTATTTTTATTTTAAAATACAGTTTTTCAGTCTGTTTTTGGTCCTGCTACTTGTGTAATGAGCTACTGAGGGAGCGCTTAAAAGATTAAGCTAGGGTGATGCATAGGAAAAAAAACTGGAGTGTAATCAAGGAAGATTTCCTTTTGGGGGTTGATTTTCTTGGTAAGCTCATGTCCTGAATTCTTTAGTGAAATCCCCTTGTTTGGGACAGTGCAGAAATTTTGATGTCAAATTTAGAGATGTAGATTTTTTCCCAGTATTTCCAAATTGAGAGCAGGCTATTCTTGTGGGAAAGCTTACTCAAACACGATCAGGGCTATAGATGTCTGAGGAAAGAAGTTTGAAGTTATTTGTAAAATTTTCAGAAAGGTGAAAATGGGTTTGTGATGGTTCCAGTACTGTACTGCGCACAGTTGCATTATGGTATCAAAGGAATCTCATGATTTATCAGATTAGCCAGTCTTTCCCAAACGTGCATTGCATTTTTTTTTTCCACCATGGCAACTGAGGGCACCCAGGGCTCCAGGCTTCTTTCCTGTCCACAGACACTAATCATTTTCCAGCAAGTCAGAAGAGGAGTTAGGCAGAACAGTCACTCAGACATGTTGGCTCAAGTGCAAACCACTTTCAGGCCAAGTCTGTTCACTCAGTTAGCATTTGGAGTTGTCAGCTTCTCATAGCTATTATTTGGGACGAAGAATCAAATCTAAGTTATCATTTAGGCTCCAATTTTAGCAGAATACTTAAGCATTTGGCTAACCATCAGCACATGAGTAGCCCTGTTGAAGCCAGTCACATGACTAAATTTAAGCACCTGTCTACGTGTTTGCAGGCATGAGACCTTAAGTGACTTCCTCTGGGGGAGAAGGGCTGGAATAGCTATGTTTATGTAGTTTTTATCCTTCTCCAACTAAACTAATGTGCAATTTCTCCATCAACAGGTGATGGAGACCAAAAGCATGTTGTACCTTGTGACAGAATATGCCAAAAATGGAGAAATTTTCGGTAAGCAAGAGAATATTTTAATGTTAAAATATTAAATCGTTTACTTCTGCAGGTTGTTATTGCATCTTACTTGATCAGTCTTTATAAAATAAAAACACACAGCCAACCTGCGGAGCTCGTTGCCAGGGGATGTTGTGAAGGCCAGAAGAAAACTGCGTTCAAAAAAGAATTAAATAAGTTTGTGGAGGATCAGTCCTTCAATGGCTATTAGCCAAGGTGGTCAGGGATGCATCCTCGTTCTGGGTGTCCCAACTGTCAGAAGCTGGGACTGGACAACTGTGGATGGATCACTTGATAATTGCTCTGTTCTATTCGTTCCCTTTGAAGCATTGGGCACTGGCTACTTTTGGAAGACAGGATATTGGGCTAGATGGACCATTAGTCTGACTCAGTATGGCCGTTCTTACGTAAATTGAAGCCTCGGGGACATTTATACTATAGCGCACACTTTCTCATTTATGTGTCAAGGAAAAGCTGTGACACTAGTTGAAACTGTTCTCCTCTTTTTATTAATTGAAATACAAAAATGTTTCTTAAAAACGTAAGTGCTTAATGTAAGGTTTAACAAAATTCTGTTCAGGAAATGTGGTGTCCTTCTAGCAGAGTTGATTGTATATTAAAAAGCAATGTAGATTCATAGATTCCAAGGTCGGAGGGACTGTTGTGATCATCTAGTCTGACCTCCTGTATAACACAGGCTAAATAACTTCCCCCAAAATAATTCCTAGAGCCACTCTTTTAGAAAAACATCCGATCTTGATTTAAAAAATTAGTGTTGGAGAATCCACCATAGCCCTTGGTAAATTGTTCCAATGGTTAATGACCCTCACCATTAAACATTTATGCCTTATTTCCAGTCTAAATTTGTCTAGTTTGAGCTTTGAGCCATTGGATTGTGTTGTACCCGTTCTCTGCTAGATTGAAGATCTATTACTAAATAATTGTTCCCCACTTGGGTACTTGTAAACTGTAACCAAGTCACCCCTTAATCTTCTTTGTGTTAAGCTAAATAGCTTGAGCTCCTGGAGTCTGTTACTATAAGGCATGTTTTCTAATCCTTTAATCATTTTTGTGACTCTTCTCTGAACCTGCTCCAATTTATCAACATCTTTTTTGAATTTTGGGCACCAGAACTGGACACAATATTTCAGCAATGGTTGCACCAGTGCCAAATACATAGTTATAATAACTTCTGTACTCCTACTTGAGATTCCCCTGATTGCATTAGCCCTGAGAGTGTGGGCCGAAATCTGATCTCATTTACAATGGTGTAACTCAGTTGAAGACAGAGTTATCAGATTTACACCAGTGTAATGGAGATCAGGATCTGGGTTTATGCTTACTACATAAAATGCCAGATGTTCTTCTGTCACAATGAATGGAGGCCCAAACCATATTTCAGGGAAGCTAAAACACTGTTGTTTCTAGCCTTTTTCAGTCATCAGACTTACCTTTTTAATGTGGTTCCTATGGTGCGTGTTTATTCATAGCTGCTCGGAGTCACTCTACAGTAGGCACTTAAATTCTGGTAAGTTTAGCTAACAAACCTGACCTTGTTTCAGTTTCGTCTTTGAGCACTGAAATTGGAGCAGGGACAAGATTTTCAAAATAAATTCAAATGAAATTTGGCGTTTTGCTTATTGTGATACTTTTAAAAGAGTTGTTTTGCTTCTGTTGGTCTCTGAAGACTGTAACCATCAGGAAAGGCTGAATAAAGAAGTCATCTCGATGCATCTGAGTCCCAGGTTGTATGCTCTCCAAATTATGTCATCTTAGCAGAAGGATCGTGCAGACTTTTCTTTCCTTTTTGATCATTTTAAAACTAGTAGTTAGTGAAAAATGTTGGCCCAGAAATTATTTTTGTGTGTCCACTGCAGTTCCAGAAGCAGAGGGCAGTGTAATATTTAGATGCTGGGACTTAGCGGTTCTGGCTATATAGAAGGGAAGAAAGGTAAACAAAGTAGTAGTGTCCTCTCTCCATCAGATTTGCAGCCATAATAGAAAATGAACTTGTACTTTATGCACCAAGAGTCAAAGGTTTGTTCTCTGAAGTTGCCTGAGAAAAGAGGCATTCCTCCCAAAAGAAATGACCTTGTACTGTTCTCTTTATCTTGAGGGAATAGTTGGCATTTCACAAGACACCTCTGGGGCATCTGCTGTCATTTTCTCCATTACCAATTATTGCTGCCTTTATATAGCTAGGAAGAAGACTTTGGGTGGAGATTGGCTTTATGCTTTCATCCCGTAGTTTCTATTCTTGTGTTGTTTTCCAGTCTGAGGGTTTTGCTATCGAAAGAATCATAATTTGCAGAGAGGCTCTGTCATGACATGTGGTTATGTCGAAGGCAGTGTTTCTTCTGGCCTCACAGGCTGTTTGCTGTTCCGGCCTTGCCAGTTTTCACTGCGGGGATCAGAAAGCAGTTCTCTCATATCAGAATCTTCCAATAAACAGAATTCCCTTTGGAGCAAATAAAATTGAATGAACTGTGAAGTAGAATTTTGGAGTATGGAGCCTTCTGAGCAGTTCTTACACAGGTATTTGGTATCTTACACATGCATCTGGCCTTTGCCTGGCAGGACATTCCTGCAAGGTGTTCTTTCCACAATGGTAGTAATAAAGAATCTCCATTTCATTAGGATAACAAGATGTGAAGGAAGCTTTTTCTCATCTTCTGAACATTTGGAAACCATTCAAAGGGAGATGAATTCAATGCCTAACAAAGGTCTCTCATTGTCTATGAACGTGACAGGAAGGAGAGGATTGGGAAATTTCATTTTTGAGTTATTATAGGACTGTGGAAAAAGAAAGGGTTTCCTAAAGACACTCACATTTCTGTATATATTTGCCATGGTTGTGGATGTCTTCATGTGGGGTGAGAACTCAGAAATTGTAGGGTGGTCACTTAACAGTTTGGGAGCTCAAACAATTAACAGGCAGTCAGCAGATTCCCAGCCAGTAATTAAATTCCTGGGGGGGTTTGTTTCCATATCTTTGCTTCTTGACATACACTCTATTTGCAAGCCGAGTATGTGCTTGTGGTTTTTACCTAAAAATGTTGATTCTCTCGTTTTCAGTAATGACATTTTAGGTGGCTGGCACTGGAAACTGAAGATGGGCCACCTTCAATCCACAGAACTTTTGGACATTTGGCTGCTAACAGCACAAGAATATTGCATAAGTGTCTCAGCCCCAAAACCGGGTATCTGCAGCCTAATAGAAGAAAGGTTTACTTTCAGTATTTCTGTACAGTGATGGGTTGGCCTATTGCCTCACAGACACAGTGGGGATGACTTAAGACTTGTCTCCACTTGAAATGCTACAGCGGCAGTGGCATTGCTATAGCTCTTCAGTGTAGATACTGCTATACGGGATGGGAGGGGTTCTCCTGGCAGCATGGGAATCCACCTCCTCAAGAGGCGGCAGCTCGGTCCTTCGACCTAGTGTTATGTACACCGGGGGTTAGATCGGCTTACCTGTTTGAGGATTTTGCACACCTCTGAGTGATGTAGCTGGGTCGACCTAACTTTTCAGTGTAGACCAGGCCTTGAGCTTGTTAAATCCTTTCTAATCGCTGAAGATTTGGGCTGTCCTAAAATGGCAGATGCCTGACAATAGAGTAAGCGGAGCACTCATTATGTATCTGGTCTTTAGGGGCCCTTCTGGCAACCTTGGGTGGTCATGTAACATAGCTGAGCCTGGTAACTTGTACTCTGGCCTTTTAGAGGTCTTCAGAGTAGTCAGTCCAAATAGGCTACTCTGGGATATCAACATTTCAGTGTAATGAGGGTTTAGATTTGCCAGTCTATAAGCATCAGAAAGAGCCAAGGCTATTCCTGTGCAAACAAGATGATGCTGTCACTCAGCTAGTCTGTTTCCAGTCACCTTTAAATATATCTATTGAAATAGTGCTCCCAGAGGTCTTAAAAGATTTAGCACAGGTAGAATTTAATCTTGCAAATTTTTGGCAGCCTTTTCCTCTTGGGTTTCTGTATATTACCCTAAACTGTTGGCAATATTTGAGTATAGGCTTAGTTACATTAGCAACTGGCAACTTCGTAGATGCAAGAGTTAATGGGTTCAGAAAGGGAATAGGGTGAGAATAAGACCTTTTCTATTTGGCTGTGCTTCCACAATAGCAGGATGGTGTGTGGTCTTGGTTGTGACGGGACATGATCAGCATTTAGAGCCATGATCTTGGAATGGGAGAAGATACTTGGATGGAGAGGTCAGCCTGCTGGAGAAGACAGAAATAATATTTTTTTGTTCATGATTTGGAAATGTGGCTTTTCTTAAGCAATCATTGTTGAAGTATAACCATGTTGTATAAATCAGTCTCTGCACCTTGTCTTCCTGTAATTGGTGTGAGATTGAGTTAGTGCCTAATTAACAGGATTGGGGAGATTTAGGATTGCCGAACATAAACTGAATGTTTAAAGCAGGCTCTCTGGATACATGGAAATGGAATTAGATACACCTTAGATAAGGATTTCTACGTCATCTTCTAATTTTTTTTTTTAAATAGTGTTTGGTGGCAGTCTGGGGCGATGTGCCAGTATATTCTAGGGGCTGAAGTTCACAGAAAGGGCCTTGTCTGGAATAGTAAGAGGCAGGGAGGGCTGCAGGTCAGGATTTAGATGTTAGTAAAGCTGTGTGGAAGGCTCAGAGCTGAAATAATGAAGATGATGAATGGGGCACCAAGGCTGACGTGCACCAGCAAAGCATAGAACTTGGAACAGCACGATGTTCTGCAGGTTCCGTGTAAGAAGACAATATTGTTAGTCTGTTTTTTTAAACTAAACATTTAATTTGTCCTCTATTAGAATTGTGCAATAGGATTTTATACTGTTCCATGCTTTTTATTTATCATGAAAATTCCAGATTAATAAACATCTCTTCCCCTCTGACAGAGGTCATGAGGATCATGAGTTAAGGTCCCCTCACTACATTGTGTAACTGATCCCGTTATTTTACTGGTTCTGGTTATACATCCTGCTGGATGACCATGCACTACTACACTCCCCCGGAAATATTTACATTCAAGTCTCATGCTTAACCCTAGTAGATTGTATTCAGTGGTACTTAGTATCGTTCAGCACCAGTATGATAGGGGATTCTATGCTTGTGTCAATTGGCTTTAGCCCCCAGTTCTTACCACTACCCTAACCTGCTTACTAGAAAAGCTTGTTAGTGTGATGATTAGCCATCTGAGGCCAGGTCTACACTCAAAAGTTAAGTTGACACAGCTATGTCATTCAGGGGTGAGAAAGATCTATACCCTTGAGCAATGAGTTAAGTTGACCTAACCCCCGTGTACACAGCACTAGGTTGATGGGAGAATTATTCTGTTGACCTAGCTAGTGCCTCTTGGGGAGGTGCGTTAATTATACCAATTGGAGAAACCCTCCAGTCACTGTAGTGGGTGTTTATAGTGAAGCTCTACAGCCGGTAGAGCCCTGCAGGTGTGCCACTGTAGTGTTTCAAGTGTAGACAAGCTCTGAAACTTTTCATCACTTGAACCTGTGCAAACTGGGTGGAAAAAACTACTATTTTGATCTGGTGGCATTTTACACCTACTTTGCACTCACTTTGCACTGGAGTAAATGACTACACAAGCTGCAAGGCAATGGAGAATGAGGCCCAACGTTTCTGAAGCTTCAGAAGGAAGAGATCAGGAGGGCAGAGGAGTTTGCTTAATCTTGGAATCTGTGGCCACTGGGTTTATTGAGCAATTTGTCAGATTGTCGCTCTTCAGAGTCTCTCAGAAACTTAAAAACATTTGCCTTAAAGCTTTTTGTTCAGTCCTCGGGTTGCAAGATAGGGAAACAAGGGAGGCCCCAGAGACCGGAAGCTAACCCCTTATTGCAATCCTGCAATTGCATAAATGATTTCCAGACTCCTTTCTTGTTCTGTGCTGTCATAGCACTTAGTTACTGTGGTTGTGGGCACCATAGAAAATCATAGAATGGATGGTAGGTAATCAGTGCCTATTACGTTAAGGTTCTCATCCAGATTGTGGCTCTGAGCATTACTACACTATCTATTAAATAATTGTCAGAAATTATTCTGGCAGACTCTGAAAGACTGGCAAACACATGAGACCTTACTGAGACATTATCGGTCAGTTATCTTTGGGTCATTGTGTCCTCAGTGACCTCTCTGTGTCCATACGCCTCACAGAGGAAGGACAACCCGTTCTAAAAGGGCTTCTAAATGTAACAACCAGCCAAAAGTGGCGTCTTAGGCGCTGACTCCGTGGGTGCTCCAGGGCTGAAGCACCCACGGGAAAATTTGGTGGGTGCAGAGCACCCACCGGCAGCACCCAGCCCCAGCTCACCTCACCTCCACTCCGCTTCCGCCCCTGAGTTACGCTCCGCCCCGGTCTGCCTCTCTGCCGCCCCCCCCCCCCCCGCGCGAATCAGCTGTGCTGGAAGCCTGGGAGGGCTGAGAAGCAAGCTTTGGCTTTGCACTCAGGCCCATGGAGGTGAGCTTGGGGGGGGGGGCGGGGGAGAGAGAAGCAGAGCGGGGCGGCGCGTTCAGGGGCGGAGGCGGAGCAGAGGTGAGCTGGGGCTGGGCACGGGGCAGGGAGCTGCCGGTGGGTGCACCCACCAAATTTTCCCTGTGGGTGCTCCAGCCCCAGAGCACCCACGGAGTCGGCGCCTAAGGTGCCACTTTTGATGTGATCAGTGAGGGGAGCGGCTGCTCCCCCACCCCTAGGAGCCAGAGGGACCTGCTGGATGCTTCCTGGGAGCTGCCCCAGGTAAGCACCGCTGGGACTCCCCACCTCGCCCACCGGCAGGTTCCTCTGGCTCTTAGGGGCGGGGGTGAGCCACGACCCCCTCGTGGGGTAAGGAGGGAACCGGTTAAGATTTTGGCAGCTCATCACTGCATCCAACTACAGAGAGCGTGTTTTTTGTAGTTCTGTAGTGTACTGGAGCTGTTTGTCTGCTTCATCCTAGGGGAATAATACACAGATTGACTCGAAATTTTTGTTGTAAATATATTCCAGGTAGTTAACTGAGTAACGTGCTTAAAAAAACCTGACATTGCCTCGAGCCTGCTGAGCGGGCAGCCCCTTTACTCTGCCCCTAGGTGACATTGTGAGGACCAGGGAGGCTGTGTGTGAAACCCCAGCCATCTCTAAATCCTCCCCTACCATGCTTCCTGAATCCTCCTTTTAGACTTTAGGTTATTACATTGTTTATTTCATTGTTTTGGTGATTTTTTTTTTTTTTTTCCTTCTTGGACGCAGGGAAATGTAGGTATTAGGAACATTTCAGGTGAAGTTCGAGCCTTAGTTGGTTCACTGTTAGGAGTTTCTTTGGATTTAGAAGTCTGCCTCCATACCCAGCATGTCCCAGGATTTATGGACTCAAATTTTGGAATTAAAAATATAGTCAGCTTAAGAAGGCCACTTAGCCCAAACAACCAAGAATGGAGCTTAATTAGAATATCTCTTGGAACCGTTGAGATAGTATGCTGATGGACATTATTATGATAAGAAACTAGATAGATATGTATGTTTTCCATGGAATTCCTTTGGCATCTAAGGGGACATTGAGAGTAAGATTTTCCTTGCACTTTTCTGTTTCCCTCATAATCTCCCTGTGCATATTCTGTATTGGAGACAGTCTGTTGTGCAGATAGCTCAGGTTCACGTACAATTTTTGGTTCTAACCCTGAGATTTCTCTGGAAAAAGTCTTTGCAGTGATTCTGGGATTAGAATTAAAGTTAGATACTTTAGGGGTTTGGTATTTTTGTTTTTCTCCCATTAGTTTTGAACTTTTAATCAAAAATATACACTGTTGATTCACAAAAGATTCTGCTGTTGCGCCCTAAGTTGCAACAGCTTAACCACTTTCTATTATTGCCATTTCTATAGACATATTCGCTGGTCAGGAGAGAGTGATGTATGTGTAAGGGAAAAAAAGAGGAGGTGATCTCTAGAAATGAGCACAGAGCAAAGAGTCGCTCTTTCCTCATGTGGCCAAGGCTACCTAAGCTTGTAGAAAGAAACTGATGGGCTGTTTTTTTACATGGTGATGTTTGTCTCTGCGTTTTAATGTCTGTTATATTTCCTGCAAAATTGTGACTCTTCAAAGATGAACTGTCTTTTTATTACAGTGAAACAAAGGCTTTTTGGGTGGTCTAGATATATATTAAAGGGTTTGTAAATGGGTTAGAGGCTTTTAACACTAAATTTATCTGATTCTCCATAACCTAACTTGTGAATTGTCTATTGCTGTTTTTTCTTAGGGTATGTCTATGCTACAAAATTATGTCGACCTAAGCTATGTCGACGATCAGCCACCGCGGTAATTACATCGTTTTTGCATGTCCACACTACGTTCCTTGTGTCAGCGGTTCACGTCCCCACCAGAAGCACTTGTACTGATTTAACTGTCGGTGTGGGACATTGTGGGATGGCTTCTGAAAGCCAGCAACAGTCAATGTAAGCGACACAGCGTCTGCACTGACACTGCGTTGACCTAACTATATCGACCTAAGTGCTATGCCTCTCATGGAGGTGGAGTCATTAAGTTGGCGTAGCGGGTGAGTTACATTGGCGGGAGCGACATTTTAGTCTTGATACTTACGGAGTTAGGTCACTGTAAGTTGCCTCACATCAACCTAACTCTGTAGCGTAGACCAGGGCTTATTGTGTAAAGTAATAGAATTATGCCTTTAGATGCATTATTGAAGGTTTAATATTGTTTAAATTTATACAGTTTTTTTCCCAAGCTCAACTTTTTCTGAGTAATTATGTCTTAGGAGTTATTGAGGCCTTCTATTAAGGGACAGGATTTTTCAGTGTTGATTGGAATTTCTATATGGAAATTTTTTTTCTCTTATTCTGCATATTTTTGAAGTTTTGCTGACTCTTTTTTTGGTCATAGAAACAAGTTGAGATTTCAAAGGGAGAAAAAAAATGGTTCCTTGCTGTTAGTTCTGCAGGTTGCCAGACACAGAAAGATCCACTATCCTGACGAGTTGCTATGTAAGGGAGTGGTTTGTTATTTACTAATGACCAAAACAAACCAAAAAAACCTAGTACCAAAAACTTTGTTCTGTGTTTGAACAGCACCTAGTACCATGTTGTCTTGGTGCATGACTGTGGCTCCTAGGCACTACCTCAGAACAGATGATTAATTGAAGGAACAAGAGAGGAAGATTACCATAGTGTTTAAGACCACTAAGAAATAGAACAGAAATGAGATCAAGGGTGAAGAAAAAATATGAAAATTAACTTCAGATCTAGAAAGTTCCTTGCTCATCATGGTTCATTGGTTGAGCTGTCATTGTAGATGTTCTAAATAGAATGGGGTATTTCCTAGCAAAATTTTTGCTTTGTTGTTAACGTCATACCTTATATTCAACACCTAGGCATTTGCAGTCTTTACATTCTCTTTCAGTCATGATAACACAGTTGGGGATGGTGAGGGCAGCTTCACTGAAGCACAGCTTTTGTCAGTTGACATCACCAACAAGAAAAAATTTCACCCAGGAGTAATTAGAATAAAGTTTAGCTGTGATGTTGAAAATCTTGATGATTAGAAAATGGCGGAGGCAGAGGCTGAATGATTTTACCGTCTCATGTGCTTAGCAGTTTCTGGTTTGACTGAGACTGAACTCACTAAAATTTACGAAGTCCATTCCAGTTGTCTGGGCTGTATTCTCTTTTTACCTTTAAATCCTTATCATTCAAGTTCAGGGTGTCGTGTGTCCAGAAGAACTCTTATGTAAGAGCACAGTGAAAAAAACAAGGTTATTGTTTACACAAAAATCATCAGAGAAAATCAAATCAGATCTTTTCAGGTGAAAGCTTTTCCTTCTTTCTTCCAAATGCTTTATTGGCTTGTATTAAACTCCCTTCTTCGAGACTAATAGCGTGTGAAATAAATCCTGCTTTTTTCATGCTCTTGGATTACACACTAGCACATATTGGAGTGCTCTTTTGGTGCTCAGAATCCAAAGTGTCTTGCAGGTTTCTAGCACTTAGCCATGTCCACCAGTTTGGACATATAAATATTATCCTTTTGGAGTCCCATTTTTCTTTAGCTAACTTGTCTTTTTTGATCATGCTCTCTGCTCCTCACATTTTGACTGCACCAAAATAGAGATTGAGTGAGTCTTTCAGACAAGAACAGATTCCTTCAAAACTTTGTACTGCAGAATTAATAACAAAATAACTTTTGATGACTTTGTTTTACAAATCAGATTTTGTTGACAATCCTATAATTCCAACTCTTGAATGAGGTGGTATAAACTGTACAGAAAATGCTTTAACTTGTCAGCAGCTGGCAACGAGTAAGCATTCCCTTGTTCATTGTTTATCAGTATTGCAAATTCTCAGTATGAACATCCATCGGGTGCATCTCATTGAGATGCTTGGCAACTCAGCTCAAAACAATGTTGTGTAGTATTATACATTAGCTCATGTAGAGGGTGATCTGATTTTATCTTTGGCCTGAAGTGAGTCTCCCGACGCTTCCCCATAGACATCCAGAATTTTGCACACTTAGCGGCAGTTGTGAATACAGCTTCTGGCAGTTATGGTCTCTGCTGGAGGAATTCCTTCCAGAGCAAAATCTACTGAGTGTAGGTGGTGTTACATTTTATGAGCTGGTAAGAGATAAACAGACCCAAGAAAGTCTTTAAAAAAAAAAATTGATTTATGAGTAGGGAAAGGCTTCACATATGTGTAATGTTTTACAGACCTACAAAGTGGGTTTTCAGCAACCACTTCTGCTGCATATTTGAGGTATTTTTACAGCTGCCTCTTCCCAACCTTCCACCAAATCCGGTGCCCAAAACTGAAGTTTCTAGGAATGCAGATATTTTTCCATCAACTGTTAATTACAGTGAAGCTGTTTTATAGGGACTGATTCACTAGTTCTGTTCATCAATGATCAATTGTTCTGTTTTGTATTTCAAGAATTCAGACTCTTGAAGCTAAAGCTGATTATTCAACCTAAAAATAAGCTAACCATTGAGCAGGGGGTGGGGTTGAGGAATGTTTCTGAGGTCACTGTTATGTGATTGGCTGCACTACTGCTAATGTAGCCCAACCAGTCTTGCTCATTGTGGTATATCTTAGGTATTTCCCACTACTAGAAAGGTTCATTGCATAGTTCAGGGGCTGCAAATATGACCAAATCTCATAGGATATTGAGACTGGCTAATTCTGTGATTTTATGTCCAAGTTGGCATATAAATCCTACAGCATGAATCACTGTTGACAGGAATGTGATGCTTTTGGCCAAGGTTTAGTAGAACAGATTTTCATCCTTGTCCTCAAACTCTCGCACACAGTCGGCAGCTAGATTTTGTGGGGCTTTTTTCTCAAACAAATAGCAATAGTATGATAATTACTCTACCATTTTATTAATTTATCCTAAAGTATCAGCAAATTAAGGGCATTCAAACCTTCAGCCCTTCTACGTGTCTCTTGTGCTAATAGATCTTCTTGCCTTATACCAGTATATTACCCCTTTATAATAAATTAAGAAATGACAAAGGAAAATATCTCATTGAAATATTTGTAAGGGCTGGGATTTTCAAAGGTACCTATGAATGGTAGGTGCCTTGGGAGTTAGGCACCATACTTCCTTCGTCTTCTTTGAGAATCCCAGCTGAAGAGCAGATATATATGTATGTTGGGGGGGGGGGAGAGGAGATTATATATATTTATTTATATATATAAATAAATTGCACAAACACTACTTGTCAGCTCTGTGCATAAGGCTGTCTCTACACAAGGAAAAAGAAAAGGAGTACCTGTGGCACTTTAGAGACTAACACCTTTATTTGAGCATAAGCTTTCGTGAGCTACAGCTCACTTCATCGGATGAACTGAGCTGTAGCTCACGAAAGCTTATGCTCAAATAAAGGTGTTAGTCTCTAAAGTGCCATAGGTACTCCTTTTCTTTTTGCGGATACAGACTGACACGGCTGCTACCCTGAAACCTGTCTCTACACAAGGAGAGTTTTACCAGTATTTCCATGCAAGTATTCTTGTACTGATAGTGTTCTCCTAGTGTGGATGCGACTACACTGGCAAGGCTATGCTTTGTACCAGTGTAGTAAACACCATCGCTACAAGCCAAACAAGCTAGTCACCGTGCCTTAGTGGGTCACAACTGAGAATACCAAATTCAGGACAAACTGCTGATACCCCCCTTCCCCCCCCCCCCCCCCCCCAAGCTGGTGGTTATTCTCCCATAAGATATACCAAACCAGCAACAAAAGTAAACTTCAGTTTCACCACACGGATAAGAAATCAGAAAAGCAGTCTCTGTATCACCACCAAAAATACCAGACTTAAGGATGAGTGGTCATTTAAAACCAATTTCATCAACCAAAAAGTTATTCTGATCCCAAAGGACCAGCCACACACCCAAGTCAATAAGTAACTCAGATCTTACCCACTAATCACTCTGTTGCCTTTTAGTATCTAATATCTAAAGGTTTATTTATAAAAAGAAAGGTGAGAGTTAAAATTGGCTGAAGGAATCAAATACATACAATAACTGCAAACTTCTTGGTTCAGGCTTGTAGCAGTGAATAAACTGCTGGCTTGTTAAGTCTCTGGTTGCTTCCAAATCATTGGAAGGTCCTCAGTCCTTTGGTTAGAATGCTCCCATTAGTATAAATCCATAGTCCAGAGGTTGGAGCAGAAAAGAGGCAAAATGGAGATGTTTCCGGGGCCTTTTATAGCTTCTGCCAAGTGGAAGGAACCCATTGCTTCAAACAAAGTGCTCCGCACAGCTTATGGAAAAATGCAGGTAACAAGATGGATTTTGGAGTCACATGTCTGTCTGCTTCGCTTAGCCATAGCAGAGGCCGTTACCCATATGCTAGTTAGAATGTTCACACGAAAGTCCATCAGATGTGGATGGGCATCTTCCATGGCCCATTGTGAGTTAAGTGTACTGTGATGGGCTATTTAACTTGAATAGTCCTTTCATGATGTGTGCAGGCTAAATACCTTGTGGGTATTACCACATGAGCAAACATTGAAATACAAGTACATAGTTAATATTCATAACTTCAGATACAAAAATGATACATGCAAACAAATAGCATAATCATATTCAGTAAATCATAGCTTTTCTAGTGACACTGTACTTGACACACTTTGTATAAGATCTGTTGCAATTATATAACAGTGGTAGCAACAATGATCTACATGGTCATGTTTAATCATATAATGTCACAACCAGTAAAAGCACAATTTTGCTGGATTAGCTGCATCTACACTAGAGACTTCTGCTGGCACAGCTTATATTGATCAGGATCACATCCTTTCACAGTCCTGGCCGACATAACTATGCCAACAGAATTCTATTGTGTAGATATAGTCAGAAAGACAGGTGTTCACATTGTCATCTTGCCCCTAGAAGGAGGTCCCTCCAGGTTTTGGTTAAAGCACAGTGGCATGCTCTGTGGTAT